TGTTAGTCTAATGCAGTCATACCAGAGATAATATTTATTTTGGGTTAAGGCCAGATGACAACGTAATAGCTTCATTTGGGCAGTCTAGACCCTTCATATGTGACAAACACTTCCCTAGAATGCATAATTTACTAAAAAACACCCATGGAGTGCATGCTTCTATCTAGCAGAAATGGTGTCTAGCCAAAACACAAAACTTGAAAGGCTTTCCCAGAATAAAGGAATAACAATGTCAGAAAAAAGCTTAAACAATAATTTGCCTGATTTATAAATGGGACAGTATTAAGAAATGAGGAGGATCCCAAACTTTGCAGAATGCCCTGAAGAAAAGTAAAATGTTAAGTCTTCTTTTCTTTAGAAATGAGTTCAGTGCCAAAGCTTTGGTAGCAAGATGCTAATTTGCTCTCAATAGGCAGGTCTGATTTCTTTAGCATTTCTTTTTCCCCATCTCATCGCTTAAAGGGCTGGAATATGAAAGGGCAGACAAGCCCAGGGGAATTTACCCGGTCCTGTTATAGCACATCAGCCCATCAAAAGAACATTTAACTATGTTCTTTTTTCTTCCAAATCTACACCATGATAAAGGTATTTTGCTTTTCCAAGTGTATATAAGGTGTTTTAATATTCTGTTCCTAAAAGGCAAATAAAAGGTACAACTTTAGGAAAACTTACTGAAGTGGTCATAACAAGATGCAAATAAAACAAAAGCCAAAGTATTTGTTAAGCTTGCTCCAGCTAAAACCCAAACTGGCTTTGATTTAGTTTTTATGAAAGCTAGCTCCTGCTCACAAGCACACCTGTAAAACCAAAAAACATTACTAACATCCAGGTGTAATATGTGGATACCCCGCCAGTGGAGTGAGAATTGGATGAGGCGTAAGCTGAAATTTGTGAACATTTCAGTTACAGGCCTAGAAAAAGAAAGCGCCCGTCCTTTCAGCAGATCGCGTGGAAACTGTTAAAGTTGTATGAAAGTGAACATTCGCACCTGCTCTCAGCTACTCGCCACGAAAACACACAGCTTGCCGCTGACCCTGCAAACGCAGTGTGTGGCAGGTACGGAGGCCAGACTACCTGCAGTCCTTGCATCTCTTCTATCTGCTGCAGATGAATTTCATGCCAGTCTCTGAGCATAACTTACTAAGAATAAATTACAACTAGTTGAAGTGAATCTGTCACAATTAGCCAAATGTGAGGGATCTGTCAGTTAAGAGATGCAGGCAGGATACAAAGCAGTAACTGATACAAGGAAACAGAGGACTGAATTTCTGCTAATGAGCTGGGGTCTGTGTTGTTCTTGAGAATTTTCAGAGCAAAAAGCTCTAAACTCATATAAAAATCAAGACTGTTACAGAAAAAAAAGCCTCTGAAAAATGGATTGAGAAATAAAAACTGAGATCTGCTAAAACCAAATGTCTTCTCAACTGTGTAATCCAGAAAAAATGAACTGTTAGATTAAATCCATATGATTCTGATGATCATCTGTGATAAACTGATCAGAGTACTCAGAGTGCCTCAGAGTACGACAAAATAACAACATTTAAAAGAAAAGCACAAAATGTTCTGCAGAGGATTCCTGATCTTAGCAATCAGCTGAAACCAGTCATAGAACTCAGCTTTTACTGGCCTAAGAATTCTCAGCAAAATTATATATTTATACTTATAGCTACATGATTTCAGTTGTCAATACACTGAATTAGTGGCATTAATTTGGTTAACATAAGTAATGCACATAGCATACTTAAGTGATAAGAGTATTCAAAGTGTTGCTGCGGGCTAGGCACCATGTCACAGAAGCGGGTGGCGTGACTGTTACCCTTCCTTTATGTTAGTAGAAACAACTATCCTCATCTATGAAATAATAATGACCTCCAAACAAAAAGCCAGATTCATGCCACTGCCCAAACAAAAGCACATGCAAGGCCACTCAGGAATCTGAACTATGTGGATGAAGAGACTTCACTGTGTATTGTTCAAGAAGAACGGGTTGGATGTATGCTTGTGCGTTTGTAGCAGCAGAAAAAGCAAAGAAAAGGGGCAAAAAGGCTTATGGCCATGAAAAGGGAATTCCTACGGTTAGATGAGAACTGGCAAAAAAGAGGTTAACGTTTGTTAGGATTATTCTTTGTTCAGGGACACACAACTTTGTAAATAAACTGGAAGGCACCAGAAATACCAGTCTGCATTATCCATTTCTCCTCTTACAAATGTTTTGAGTCAGAAAGGAGAACAGCCTTATAACTCCTGCAAGACACACTGCCATGCGAGTATGCCAGCCTGCTTGTTTAATACCGAATGCATTAGTGGTTCCTTACACCACATTAAATAAAAAAGCATGTGCATTCTATGCATATTCTTTGGAATTTACAGGTATGACAAATATAAAACACAAACTATGCAAACAACCCATCGCAGAGCCCTCTTGAATTCCCTGTCCTATCATTCTGATTCTTCGTTCAGGAGGTCAAATGGAGGCTCCTCTGCTGGATGACTCCTATCTGAACTGTCCTGCTGGGAGGATGTGTAGCGTTTAGAGGTGCTGTAAATAACTGCCTTGAATGCTCAAGGCATAAGCTGGGGGGAATGAATAAAGACTGGTTCTCCACAAGCCAGAAAGGCTGGCAGCGGGCTTCAGCCTGTGAAGGTTCAACCACTCAGTTAATGTCAATGGAACCTAAAGTGTAGGAGACCAGCTTGAGCGGCTGCCAGTTACTGCCCTCAAATGAGGGGAAGCTCACTTCTAAGACTGTGTTCGTTCATGTGAACCCGTGGCTTTCCAAGTAAAATACTAAACTGGTTTTGAACAAATCAGATTATACATTTAGCAATCACTACAGTCTTTAAAAGCCATTTCTCTAAGGGTTATCCAGAGGAAGCTTTGATAAAATCGGTATTTGATACCCTTCCGTAAAATAAGTCTTAGTACTATAGTATGCCCCTGAAAAGTTAATGCATATATTTCCTTCTGAATTTCCTCCTGAATATTCTTGTTTAAGGTTAATCAAACATGTAATATGTGTTACTTTTAACAGGAAGGATTATCTTTGATATTTTAAATCCTCTCTGGATTCTTAAAAAGGCCCTCTTCTTCTATTCAGTGGTAGTATAACTCTTTACCTGGAGGCTAATACCCAATGAAATTCATGTTCAAACTCCCCTAATTAAGATCACTGAAATGAATGAGCAAATTGATGCACAAAATAAGCCCGCATGGCTTGTTTCCTCTCTCTTGCTTCAAGCCTTACCAATTTCAGAAACACAGCTTCAGTTTGCCAAACTATAAAGGATCTGCTAAAACCTGCCCGTTCCCTTCAGAAAGATTACACATTTTCCACGATTCCTCCTAGAATGTTGAGCAAATAAATATTTCATTTTAAAACATTCTTCTTGACAAATCACGCATAAGATGTATTTTGAAGACTATCCATAGCTGCTGATGCCTGCACAATAACTGTTTTCTCAGTGTTGCAAAGGGGCAAAGGAAGGAAAGGAATCAAGTCTTTCTTTGGGTAGCAGAGTAAGAAGAATCACAATAGTGTGACAGGCCTCTGGTTCTAGGTGAAAAGGAACTTAAGCATAAGCTTTGATTTCCCTTCTCCTTGTGTATGCTTTCAAAGGAAAGAATAAAAGAAGACAACCTTTAAAGCAAGAGAAAAGTGAGTGTTTTTGGAAAAGATCTCTTAAAAAGATTAAAAATCTGTGTAACCTGTTCCATATGACAAAATTTTGTTCAGCCATAGGAAGACTTTTAAAAAGTTTGGGTAGCAAATCTCTGACCCACAGGCCAGTTGCAGTTTAACAGAATTACTCACACTTTCTGCTCTCTGAAGACCTCTTATCCGAGTATCTAGATACACATATAGATCTATATAGGTCTACAAAGATATATCTATAGATCTATATAGATATAAGTCTATAGATAGGTATAGATATAGATAAGGAAAGGCATGTGTGAGCTGTGGCAGCCTGGAGCTGGCTCTCTGGAACCCTATCTTTTATGGACCCCGTATCGCCTCTTCCCTCATGTGACTGAAATACAGAAATATCTAGTTATGAGACACAAAAGGAGCTATGCCATCTTTTATTGCCTCCATCGCTGCTCATGTTGTCCCTTCCAAAGACCATGTGGATAATAGATAATACATGCTTAAGTCAATGCACAATTTGCTAAATTATTACAAATAACTAGAAATGATTGTCACTGCAGTCTGGCAAAGCATATGACCTTAACAATTCTCACTTTATTCCAACATTTTAAAAACATATTTTAAGATTTAAAGGCTTTATTTTATAATCTGGTGGTATAAATGACAAATTCAACTTGCCCTCACTCCATCTGTTAGGCGTTATATAGGCACTATACAAATGAGTATGCAGAATTCAGACTTGGAGATACCAAGAATAAAAACAAAAGCCTCTCTGGTAGCAAATGTTCCAAAAAGATATGGAAACACCAGGGCATGATTCATTGCTCGTGAATTCAAATATCCATTATCTCTGTCTTTCTTCACTTTACTTATACAAAAGCCAGTACACTGCACTTAGCCTCCTGCATTGAAATGGTTTCTTCTCATTCATATTCATGAACAGAGAAAATTTACTAACATGCATTCGAAAGCAAAAAATAATCTCTATTTCTCAGTGCATCACCATGATGGAGATAAAAGCATGAGGTGTTAGAACAGAGATTAAGACCGATATCTGCCATAGAAAATTTTGCACTGTAACTCTGAAACCAGGAATCCTCAACATTGTTCTGTATGAAACATCTTACTTGAAGTAACAGTCAACTTGAACGCAACAGCCAGCTCTGGAACTCCTCCATGGAAATACAATGCCTTCGATCCATGTTTCTTGGGGACAGGAGGGCAAACTTAGGAATTCTTTAAGCAAGAATATGCACACATTCAGCTCATGCTACCTAAAGAAGTTTTTTCAGATGTACATATAAAAGCAAATGGCTAGACAGTTGAGTGAATAAAAAATGAGTAAGAACTAGGTATGCTGTAATTATTGTCTTTTATTGATCTCACTGTGTACATAACCACGAGTAAAGAAAATTTTCATCCATTTCCTGAGGGAACATTTCATTTGTATAATCTGCTCAAAGCACGTAAAGTTGATTTATTTACATGAAATTTACTCCTTTTGCTTTGTTTGCTTGCTTTCCACGAGCCCTAAAAGCACTGCATCAGCTTCCAGCAAAGTTGTATCAGTTGTTGCGCCCAAGAATCTGGATGTGAGTTCAAGATCCAGCAGTCTCAGACGTACTCGGGATCCTCTCTGATATTTTCTGTGGAGAAAAAGGGAGAACAAGATAAACTTTGATAAGCAACGGTCTTGCATCTTGAGGCACCTCTCCTGTCCACAGACTAGAGTAGCAGCCCCACAGAAAACAACGTGTTATAAATGAATTTAATACTTAATCAAAATGCAGCAGCACTAAAACAGTGAACGTAGGATACAAAGACTAAATTCGGAGTTTCCCAAACACTGTAATGTTTGATTTTATGATTTCTCTTTCTTTTAAACCATTCACTTTCACGCATATAATATTCTCCTTCGAGCCTCACTTGCCATTTTAACAGCCTTCCAAAAGGAAAGACAATACCTAGACAGGAAAGCTTTACTGGTTCAGAGATTGAGAAAATAAGTTTAATGGCTTAATAACCCTACACAGGGATCCGAGGACGTACTCTGCAACACAGCAGAGCCAATCTTTGCTCATATAATCCTATCCATGGAACAGCAGGCAACAGCAGATCCCTCTTCAAGGAGTGGAGGCTCTACAGAAAAGCAGTTATTATACAGGAAACTGTTTTTGTCTTCTATCAAAATATTTTATTGTATTATCTGGTATCCTGCACACAATTATCAGCAAGACAATATATCATTAAAGGGGAGGACAAGTCATCATTAGATCACTGGTGACACTGCTATTATCAAAAAAACATAATGCCAACTAACTACGGCTTATATTTCCAGCTCTGGGCCTCAGGCAAGGAACTTTTATTGTCTTTTTCTCTCCTCCAAAAGTGCACGTTGTCTGCAACTTTTTAAATACATATAATTAAAAAGAAACCCCACAACTATTCTAATGAAACATTCTGCCTACGGGGTTGGGGTTTAGTGTTTTACTCTTTTTCTTTCTTTTGTTTTCAAGTCAGGAGGAGATGTGAGCGCTCAAAAAGTTTTAGAGTTAGACTGTATGTCAAGCTCATCATGCCAAATTAGTGAAGATTTTTGAAATACTAACATCCTTTATAATGCACTTGGAGAGCTACTGATCAAAGTGTAGCAATAAAATTGAGGATTACTCTTATTTTGATAGTTTGAGCCATACACATTTGTCCTTGTTAAAAGAAAGAGCTGAAGATGTATGAAGCTTGACCACCGTGAGCCAAAGCAAGAAAACAGGCACTGAAAATAACCATTCTCCAGTTACAACCTGGAGAAAACATAATGGAGAAGTTTGTTGTGTGACACTTCCACCTGGCTCATTTTCATCTTCAGCTTAGACAATCTTTGTCATCTGACTACTGTTTACTAACATGCAGCAAAACTGAACTCGGTCTGAACTTTCTTCGGCACATCAGCCAAGATCCCTTTGGAAAAGTAAACATCTTAAGAAAGGTTGCTGGATTGGCACATGCTTATTTTTATTTTCTCGCAATTTTATATTAACTTCCTATGGTTCTTGGTTACTCTGCGTAACATACTCAGCTCTGTTACAAACAGAAAAGGAAAATCATTTTATAGCTCTACACTGAACAAGCAGCTACAGAGGGTATTTGTGGAGTGAGGGTTTCTGCAAAGGCTTGTCCTGATGAACCCTTCCTCAATCTGTATGAATCAACGGAAACATCACACAGTTTCTTAAAACCATAAAATTAAAGTCACTGATCTGGCCAAAAAGTGAGTAAAACAACTGTTGCAGTGAAGAGTAAGGCACAGCTCCAAAGACAGAGACTGCCCCGTGTGAGGTTGTTACCTGCGTAGCTGGAAAGGATCAGTTTTGCCCCTTTCTTTGAGAACTACTTGCATTTCCCAGCAGGACAGTTTCATGACTGAGGATAACAATTCATGAAAGGCAACATGCAAGGTTTCAGAGGACTAAGACAAGGGCAAAACAAAATCAAAATCAAAAGGCAACACAAAAGACCTTAAAAACGGAAGGTCGCTTCTGGGATCTTAGGCTTACTTAAAGGAGAAAGTTCCCCAAAGAAGTCAGGATGCTTTGAGTTAAGAGGAGGAATAAAGAGGAAGGCTCCTCATTCCTTCCAGCAGCCAACAGCTGAAGAACCTGAAATGAAAGATAGCTGCTGGCTAGTGATTTTAGCCATCTGAGCATATGGGACAAACCTAAAGAAAATTCTCTAGCATGAATCGAAAAAAGTACCTTTGGCAGCTTCTGGCTAGAAAAATTGCCTTAGCATGCAATCATAAAGTTATCTTGATCCCTAATCTTCCCTTTGGCATAAATTTACAGACTTTTTGGCTTTTATCACTGAATGTAAGGAGTGGATAGAGAGTGAAAAAAGCCAAAGTTAAAAAATAAAAGTTAGAAAATAGTTTTGGGGAGAAGGCAAAAAGAGAGGCAGAGAAAGAATTCGGAGGGAGAAATGGGCTTTGGAAACAGAAAAGAGAGGCAGCAGACAGCTTATAAAGACTAAAAACAAGAGACTGAAGAAGATATGCAGGGGGAGGGATATGTGATAACGCAGGTGACAAGTCAGCATGGAAAACAGTATAGGCATATTGTCTAGAAAAGAAGGAAACTACAGAGTAGAGCCACAGAAGAGAAAGCCACTGGAAAGTCAAGATACACTACATAAAACTATTAAAGCTTGAGTGATATTAAATTCATCTAGGACATGTTTTTAACCTAGTAAAACTTAACTAGAATTACTGGGTTCGTGATAAATTTTAAATCTCAATAATCTCTCTGCCTTTTTCTTCTCTCCTTTCTCCTGCAGAAAAAAAAAAGCTCACTGATACTGTGAACTAGAATGCTATTATGAAAAATCTTCATAATCCAACACGTTTCTACAGAATCTGACTGAGGTTTACACTGAATTAGAAGTCCCCTCTAGATTCGACAGCAACTACTTGTGCAGAGTAGGAAAGATATTAAGAGCTACACAATTGCAATTGAAATACAAAATATTACTTTCATCATGCAACAGCTCCTTTTTGCCTTATTGCTAGACAACAGTTTAAGTGTTTTGCAACTGAACAGAGGAAATTAGTTTTTTTCTAATCAGAAAGCGTTATACAGCACCAGGAAAGCCTATGAGGAAAATATGTGAAGTAACTGTACTTCTTATGATTAATAAGCAAATTCAATGCATAAATCTTAAGCACAATTTCCCCTATTTCATAGCATTAGAAAGACTTGATTCATTGCACAGTTTGCAAGAACTTTGCTCAAGTTTCCAAACATGACTTTATACTTGTAATGCAAAACCCAAGCAATTGTATTTTCATAAAAGCCCCACAAATGCTGCTGCAGTAACTCAGACACAGATTCCAGATACTTTAATCATACTTAATCCAATTACTAAAGAAAATTTTTCAGTCACTGCACACCTGCTTACAAAGAGATCTTGAAGAACATCACTTTAAGGAGCTGAAACAACTGCCAATTTGTGTGGATATAAACATATGTTGTTCTGACAGATGTTCCTTACAGCTAAAAAATTTTAGCATAAATGATCAGTGGAAGAGGTATAAAAAGTAGAATCGTGAATACAACTTGCAGTGGGGTTCTGTCCAACGCATTTTGAAGCCAAAGGAAATGCTAGGTTGCTCCAGGCATGGTAATCATATTCTACCCACGGCACAAAGGAATTCATGCTTAAAACAGATGAAACTATCCTATGTTTAGAGCAGAAGCTTTAAGCAGGACCCAGAGACAAAGCAGGCATTTTGTGATTTTCAGAAACAGCATTCTAGGAGACACAGAACACCCGCGTAAAAGGAAGGAGACTGTCCACTTCATTTTGCAAAAGGACTTGCTTTATTTCTACGTAACAATGCTGGTATTCAAGACCATCCTGTATCATGCGGATCGGCAGGCACCCCTAACCTCCACGCAGCCCCCAAGCACGGTGTTTGTCAAGGACGCACACGCTTTTCTCCTAGCCCTTTTTCTGCGGACAGGTGACAATACTAAACCCACTTCGAAGTAAACAGAGTTTGGTCGCAAATATAACTTAAGGTAAAGGAATCCGCTACAAAACTTTAGAACATGTATTTTGCGAGTGGACTCAACGCCTTCTCCAGCTCTTCAGAATTTATTTATAAAATGGTTATGGGAGAGGCAGTAACGGAAAGATAGAAATGAATTTATGGACGTAAAGCATACGGGATACATAATTCATTCAGATCCTTACATCCTGCAGTATTTCTACACATAACTCAAATCCTACTGTGAAAGTTTTCCTCTTCTCTCCCTCCTAAACGGCACTATCCCAGAGCAGAGCTGCCTCTCGACCCTCCCTTGCTATTATGCAGTTATACTTTATCAACATCCTAACAACCTTGGAGCAGGTCCTTTAAAAAAAAAGAAAAAAAAAAACTAGCAGCCCTATTTTCTTGCACAGACAGCCTTGAAGACATAAACAGAGAAATGGGGCTTAAAGCCCATTTATTCTTGTTGCTAACAATCATTTCCCATTAAGAGGTATCGATTTTAATCCTTTGGGAATGCCATTTTTGGGTGTAGGGACACCAACTGATGTCCGGCTTTGGAAGGGGGTATCCGCTGGCTGCCACTGCCGAGGTG